AATGGGAATCAGATTCTGCAACTACACCATTGCTCATATGAAAGAAAGTTCATTTTCTTCAGCCGTATTCATTTATATTTTTTCTTTAGTCATTGTTTTACTTTGTCTGCACGATTTTATCTTTGCACTGCGCACCCCCCTGCATGGGGTATAAACCATACCCCAACCTGATTTGAAAAATTCCTATCTCTATAGATTTTCATCGGAACTTCCTAGGGAGCTTCTCAGTGAAGATTATATACCTAAAGAGTTCAGGGGTCACTTTGTCCCAGAAAAAAGTATTTTTTTACAAAAATATTATGCCGTCAATAGGCGGCAGCCATTTTGTAAAACGATACCACTACGCTAAAAAATAGCATTATTATCACATTATGAAAGAAAATAAATATATGTCAATCTACACCGCAACATTGTCGTTATATTTCTAAGAGATTATTAACGCGAGACAACAACAAATTCTGTCCGGTCGTGTTCACATGTGGTTATTTCATTTGACGTGTAAAACAATCAAATGTCCATATTAAAGGAGTTCAATAAAGCGTGGACCAAACTTTATTACTGTACGGCCTTAATTAATTGCCTGAAGTATATTCTAAACCATGAAGGCTAACTAGGTTATCATACGSCCGATAAAAAAGAACATTTCAAGCGTGAATGCTCAATTATTGCGAGTGAATGTTTGAGTGTTGTTTTTATGACACAGCGGCGACAGCTGAAGTCAGGTTTGTAAAGTACCGAGAGTTAAGGAATGCTGACTTGTAAGTAATTTGTAAATTAAAAAGCTATGAATACAAATACAACACCGATTATAATGAAATAGTCGACCACGAGTATTCGTTCACTGACAGCCACACTTGATTGGCTTTATTATAACCGTGCGGTTTCAAAAATCAACACAAAAAATCGATTACAACCAAGGCGGTTTCTGCYTCAGCTTTATGTTTRAACAAAGTTTAATAGTTTTACTTTCACATAAGAATGTCTGTTAGCTTTGATATGGCAAATACTAGCACATTCTTTGGATATTAAACACATGTGGTGTCTAAAATCGGCTCGCTATTATTTTCACGTCTTAGTCGCTGAAAAGACTTATACCGAAAACAGGAAGATCAGCTAGTCAAATCAACACAACACTACCTCGATAGACCTCTCTKCAGCCATGTCCCTCGCTTGTGCTCTACTTTGGAATTTCCGTTTTTCTTCATTTCAGGGGAGACTCGAGAGTTGCCGTGATCTGGAGCAATGGTCTTGKTCTTCTTGGGTTTCAACATCCTCGCTGTGATCTTTAGCGGCAGTGTGGCGTAACTAATGACCGCAGACCCAATACGAATGAATATGTCACATATAATGGCAATAACAATAGGCCCGTATGTTTATGCAAAGCGAATATGTTTATCTATTAAATTTACTTGACTCCTTGAACTCCGTTTTCATATGTGTTTGCTGTGAAGATTTCTGTACATATGTACGTAATAGATTTTTTGAAATTACACGATTTTGCAGTTACATGTATTTTTGTAGTCGAAATCAAATGAAATATTAAAATGAATTGAGCATGGATGCCATTTGAGCGAAATTGTGCAAAAATATTTCTATATTCGTGTGTGAATTATATCAAAGCAAAGTCAAATATCAAAATGTACAGAGCTTAGATGCCTGCCCAGAAAACCGTATCAGGAATATAAGGTATTCAAAGCCTTCTTGTCAAGATCCAGCCACATGAAATGTCAAATTATCAGAAAACCGCAAATGTTTAGCAACTCGTAACTGCATGTAAGGTATGGAGTCTCGTGTTCAAAATGAGAGTAACGTTAACGATAAATTGTTTTTAACAGAAAGAAAAACTGTCCATAATCCTGGGTCAATATTCCAGATTTTCCAAGAAGTCAAATATAGCGATGACGACACATTACTTCCGGAATAGTCCTATTGACGTAAAAGTCCACACCCACAACAATTCAAGCGATGTTTGTTTACAGAACAACGCACATGGCACACTCCGATACGCTTTACAAACCATACGCTACCAGAAAAGCTACCAGAAAGCTTATGACGCCATCGTATACAAAATCCATACCAACGTGGAAACGATATCTGGAGGCATGTTCTACACAGAAATTTCCATTTTAGATCCGAGTGCATATGGCAATCACCGGAGACACAGCATAGACTCTATATGCAAGCGTGAACGGTAAAAATAGCGTGGATGTGAAACTATAGCCTGCTAACAGGCGTTCCTGCTGGGGGGCCGAGGGAGAATGGGGAGGAGAGGAGCGCAGGAACGCCTGTTAGCAGGCTAGTGAAACTATGGCCTGAGTTCATCCAGCGTTTACCCGTAAACACGGTTAATAACCCGGATGTACGCAGGCTAGTGAACCTTACGTACTCGCATAAAAAACTTTGCGGGTACAAGAATAGTCCACTTTTGACACTCTCATACAGAGTCTGGTTGACTATAGCCATGCTCAAAGAATTGAAAAAGGACGCTCCCACCGGAAATATCTATTGTTTCCCCTGGGTCTCGTCTACAATTCTTTTTGTGTGTGGGTCCAGCGAAATATCGAATGTTATATATAGTACCCGGTTGCAATTTCTGGGAGCGACTAACGAGCAACAAAGATTGAAAGAAAGGTTTTTTAAAACCTGAAATATTACATTATATTRTAATATTATATTATTGAGATATTACATCTGAAGTATTTCAAGTCCCTTCCAGTTGTTTTTTTAGAGACACACACTCCTACTTTTATGTTAATTAGACTTTCCATGGCGGAAGCAAAAATCAGTTTTTCTCAAGTTTCTTCCGAAATACGTTGGATTAAATATCTGTAATGTATTTTCTGATTAGTTCTGTCTGCCTATTTCTTTGTAATCATTGAAGAAAATTTACGCAAAAAATGGCCACACTGGCTGAATCATAGAAAAAAGTTCGATAATGAACGGCATTAATTTTACAGTTAAGAGAGAAGAGATGCATGGCAACAAACTATTAACTAGCAGCATCCTCGAAACATCGATCATCGACACATATTAAATGGCAGGTTTTGTTCTCCCCATGATTCCAGCTCTTGGTCAGAATTGCTCGAAGAGCGTACTTTCCCGCCATCTCTCATATAAGTATAGAGTGGTTTTCATTAACCCGTGAAATACACTTTAGACACTTTAGCGTATTACACTTTATTACACTTTGTCTCTTTTGTTTTCTATTATATTCCTTGGCTATTGCACTTTATTACACTTTGAATATTGCACTTTGTTTCACAGGATAATGAGAACCACTCTATCACAATGAGCATCACTTATACAAAAAGTTATAAATATTCAATTTATTGTAAGCAACACCTACATCGACTCTTTTTTACCAATATCCCCCACAAACGCGTCAATTGGGCTGGTTGTCTTTTGAGAGGCAGAAGACTTTCCATGACACTCCGCTGAACTGAAATTGATTGTAGTAACAGCTCATAAATAATATCTGGTAGTGAAGGGGCTGGAAGCGTGCGAAATCGCTTTCGTATTGGGTATTTAGCCTTCCCCAATAAAAATAAYGCATTCCATGACGTCATCTCGTGACGTCATCTCGTGACGTTATAAATGCGGAAAAAGGCTATAATTACATCAAGTATATATCTATGTCCGTAAAGCCAAGCATGCGTTTTTAGAATTATTATCAAATAGGCTTTTTATGATTTTAAATGCTACAAATAAGCAAAAAATGCCAATAACTTTCGTATTTCTAAATTTTTCGCTAAACCCATGCTTGGTTCTGAACTGAAGAGAAGGCTGCAAAGAACATAAATATTGAAAAACACGTCTATTTGATGTTTCGCCGGAGATTATAGCTTTTAAATGAAATCACCTTAAACCATATACATTTTATGTAAACATTAACTATGAACAGCTCTATAAATAATAAGAAGTAGACAACTAGAAGAAGAACTGGACAAAAGAAACAGATCTCACAAAAACGTCCTATAAGTCACTCTGAAATACCACCATAGCTACAGTTTTACCTCTTCTGATCGTGGTCTTTTTTGATCCTTAAAAAAACAGATTTCAAACAGCCCATTGCGAACCTGTAGTATTTTTTATCTAAAGATTTGTTCAGCCTGACATCTGCACGTCTTGAAGGCTTTGTTAGGGATTGTATTTGTATGGAAAACGGGAAATAATTATATCAAGTTTGAACTGGAAGTGCCGATTGTCTGTAACAGGTGCCAGTATTCTCGCTCTTGCCCAATGGGAAAAAAAACCGCGCTGTGAATTTGATGTAAAAATGATGTAAGTAATATTTCATGATTTTGGACACTTACATAATATATACATCACATTTACACACTTTGTACAAACGATGTTCATTTAATGGAAATATTATGAAAATTAAAATCCACATTTACACGATATTTGCATGATTTTGGACATTGAATTTACATCATATTTTCATTAAATTAATGAGCTTCAAGGCGCGCAATTTTTTCCAGTCTGCCATGGCAAAGCAGAAAATGTTTCTATCCTTCCTCAAGAGAAACTCCAATACATATGTCCATACATATGACCAGAAGAAACTTCTTCATTCGCCATAGCGTTCCCCATCATGTACCGGCGAGGCGCGCGACCGTGACGTAACACCACAGGTAATCCACAAATCCAAAGTAAATCAACAAAAGAATCAGGTAAAGTTATAGCGCGCGCTTGCGGTTTTCTTCTTGTGTTTTGGCTTTTTTGCATTGATTCATCAATACATATATGAATTAATATAATACAATAAAGTACAGAAAATAAAAGCATAAATGAAGCATGCAAGAGGTGGGCTGCCTATGTCCCCATCAGAAACTTTCCTGGCGTGTCCACCACGAAAGCCTCCGCTTGTTAAAGTTTCACCCTGCCTGTCCACCATGAAATTTTTCTAATTCAAAGAGACTCCAGGAGTGTAGCGTTCTACATGCAAATTAATACATACACACTGAAAAACAAAATGAAATTTAGAATTAATCGATTGTATTGTAGCCGTGATACATCGTAGAAGTAGAATAAAATGCAACAAAGTTTTTTTTTACGATTTTTAAACGCCTATTAAGTTACAAGGTAACGAAAACGAAAAACTAAATACAGCAACCAACAATACTCTGTTTACATCTGACTTAAATAAATAAAAAAGAAATACTGCTACCCGCAATTAGTTGCAATAAAAAAAGTATATAAAAGATTATAGTATATTTTACAAAAATAAAGAACTGGATATAATTACATATAGTAAAGAAATTTTATGATTTTGATATAAATTTACAATTCGGCTATACAGTATTTCGTAATGATAAGGGAGGCTTTTCTGCATTTGGTGATTGTCCTGTAGAAGAAGTGTGTGCTATTTCCATTAATGTTTAACAATATCGGCGTTTATGTTTGAAAACTCTTATCAAAGTTGATATTTTGAACAATATCTAGACCTTTAAACTTTTTACGTCACTACTTCATTTGAAATGCATTGCGTATATGGTGCAACGACGTAGATCTTATAATGACCATGCTACATCCCAGGCTTGTTTTCCCTGGATTTTATTTCTTAAAATCCCTTTTGTTCTGAAATAAAATACATTCCCGTCTGCCATAAAAAATATCTCCACCCCATTCATGAAACTTTTCAGTCTGTCAAAGTCAGTCAAAGGAAAAAAAATCCACCCATTTCTCGGAGTCTGGTGTCCGCCACACCAAGGAGGCCTGCTTCCATATCAAAAATCAACAGGAACGGATTTACGGGTGAGGGGCGGGGTCCACCTATTTTGCTGATCAAAAAAACTTTTTATTTTTTAACTATTATATAAA